AAACAAACGAAAATCGAGTGAGTACCTATAGGTAGTCAAATTCAATTACCTAGATTCAGAATCTCTTAACTTTGGTTTGAACAAAGATTAATTCAACCTTTTGAACCTTGTTGTAGTAGGTCAGCTGGAATTCATTGAGTGTTTAAGATTCCAAATCACTAGGACTTACATATAGTCGCAAACCCCAAATTTAAACAATACTGTAGTGTAGAAATGGGTATGCAGGTACCACGTAAACGTGGCAACGTTGTTTCGATCAAGTCGTCCGTGGTCGTCGTCATTCTTTCTTCGTGGTTCGTGCGTTTCGCGAATATCTCAATCGACTCCCATGCACGCAATTATCGATTGCCTCGTAAACATCATCGCGAATTCTATCGAACGAACGTGGCAACTGCGGCACAGCGCCAGCACCGCGAACATCATAAATAGTACTTACTCATTATTCGTCTTCATCCTCGTCTCTCTCTCTTTTCTTCTCCTCGTTATTATTCACGGTCTTCATTTTTGCATGTTATTTTTGTTTTTTTTTATTAATTGTTTTTTTCTTTCGCGTCTTTTATATTACCCGCCACGACTACGATGATTTAGTAAGGGTCGTAGCTCGGAGCCTTCAGGGGCGTCCCCCGGAAATTCAGCGGTGGAAGGAGAAAGTGCACGCTATGTGCCAAATCGGGAGAAAATTTACATACACATATTTATTTTTCTACTTATTACGTACCTGTACCAAATAGGTACATTTTATATAAAATGGATTAGGAATTAATGAACGACCGAATGTAAAGTAATTAATTTGCGAATAAAATTTAATTTGATTTGGATGATCGCTATCGTCTTAAAGACACGCATAGTTTTAAAGAGTCTAAAGTTCCTTCTTTATGAAATCAATTTAAATTTGGTCTTTTACTTTTGCCAAGATTAGGTATGTACTCATTTCGAATACAATCCAAATCAACATTTCTTTCCACTGTTTACAACTATACTGACCATAGGTGAGCAGTTGTCACTCTGCCCACAGACCGAAAGTCTCCGCCCCGATGGCTTTTTACTCTCTGTACATTCCGTTTACTGTGACAAAATATAAAGTGTGCCTCGTTTGAAAGGTACCATAAGGTTGTAGTTGCAGTTGGGCATGAGCGCCGCTCATTGAGCCGCATGACCTAGAGGTTTAGTCCATTTCTTAGCTTTCGAGAAGACGCCGGTTCGATTCCGGGTCCGTCTGCCTTGAACCAAGTTTTTCTGTGGATCACATAGGTAAATGCTGAGGCAGTAATACTCCACAGATAATCTTTTATTCCCTTCTGTCTTCATTTCGTCGGTCTTGTCTTTCTCATCCAAACGATCTCCCGCCTATTCTCACGATTCCTGAAAAGCCTTCCGCCCTACCTTCCGGTGTAGTCCAGAGAATCTGCCCGCTAACCAGCATTAGTGGCTGGTGGGAATGAAACACCCAAAAGTTTTTTTCTTAGGCATGAGAAAAGGCGATCTACTGTTGGCAGTTTTCTTGCATGAGCCGCCACTTTAGATGGCTCAGAATTTACTTGCAGCGCTTGAAATTTAATAGATTTTATCTATAAAAGTAATACATCGACAGTTATTTTTGTATCTTCTCAATCCGAGGGTCTGTAGTAGAAAAAATAGATATTCTTTTTCAGTTACCTACTCTTAATGAAAAAATCAAGATATCTATTACCTAACTATTCCAATTTTTTTGTTTTTCAGTCTCTACATTTAAAAGCAGTGAGGCGGCTATACATACATTTTTCTTCTGATTGTGGACAACGATCTTCACATTCGTTTTGAAAAACACCCCCTTTTGAATCAGATTACCGCATTCATTCGAAAAATAACAGGTATGGGCACCCTATCAGTGCAGACACAATCCGCCCATACGGGATTTTTATTTCGACCCAGTCCCTCGCACCACCGAATCAACTCGCAACATTATCTCCTTCGTTTGTTCTTTGGCGTTGTTATCGTGTGGCCGTCGTTATTTATTTTTTTGTCGTTGTCTTCCGAGATTTATTTATTATTTCGATAAACAGCGCCATTTATAACTCGAACAAGGTACGTTGTTGGTCCAAAAAGAGGTGATTAATAGCCTAGCACGTTGCGACGCATTCGGTACCAGCTACACCTCGCCTGTAAGGCTATAGTTTGCCTGCTGTCTTTCCTTTGAATTATTTCGTCGGGATGAGTTATCCTTCGAATGGCCTTGGGCACGGCCATTATCGTCATCTATCGTAACATTCGTGTGTAGCATCTACCATCGTATTACAACAGTTTTTTCTTCGTCCAGCCGTCGAGATTCTCATTCCGATCTATTGCATGTACATTTAGTTCTAAGAAACGGTTGACTACTATTACTGACGCCTAGAAACTAGACGGTAACGTTAACGGGCCACTGGAAAAGTGATTTAAATTTAGGGTTATCATCCGTCCAGATTTCGGCGGATTTTTCCTAGTCCAAGAAACTTTTGTCTGCATTTCTGAGATTAAAAATTTTCAGGATCAATGTCTGAATTTTTATCTCAAAAATCTGGTGTTTTTTTAGCTATTTGTCCCAGTTTGTTGATTTTACTGATGGGAACCCGACATAAATTCGAAGTCAATTCGTTAAGATTTCATGTCAATTTCATCCCAGGATGTTATCCCATTCGCGCCATACATCGGCAATAATTTCTTTTTGATACAGGTAGATGCAAGATGTTATTGTTCGTATAATATGAGAATATTTATTGGTCGAAGTAGACATTGAGACACTGAAGACTGGTCATTTCGATGAAACAATTGTGGTCTTCTTACAGTAGACAAGCATATGTGAGCATTACGCGTAACATTATTAAGATACGCTTGATAATCTATTGAATCAATTAAAAAAACCGACCAACAATCGCTGTTTTTATAGGTTGCCATTATTTCCCATGGCGTTATCTTCACTGGTTTGGAATGCTTTATTAACAAAGATAATAACGCGATTTAAAAAACAAAATGTTCCGAAAAGATGGGGTTAAATTCCGATGTCGATAAAGACATCTCGGCTGATTGAACAATAGCATCTCATACCCACAGGGTGTCGTAAATTTCAAGTAAAAATCATCATTCGTAAAACATTCAACACCGAATTCAAAAAGTATTTCGAGCACACCTTCTTTTGGAGCTGTGGAAGTCAATAATAAATAAGCGGGATAATTTCTCAAGCATGAAGGGCTACTTAGAGACATATTGGAAGTTGAAAAGTTAACAGGGGTAATGGTAGATTTAGATTAAATTGTTGTTCACAAATAGTTAAGTATGTGGGACGTTACTTTTTAGGGAAATATAAAGACTACGTCAGGAGGTGCGTGTCCAATCAGTCTTATGTTGATGATGATGATTCATTACTAAATAAGTACGCTATATTAAAAAAAAAATCATAAGAATCGGTTTAGTGGTTTGCGAGAAAATTATCATTCATTTTTCACTTTTCTAGTTGCTGGGGTAAATTTTGATCTTACTATATTTGCATTTTTAGTATGTGTTACTGTAAAACCCCCCAAAAGCCGAAGATTTGTGAATGGTGGTGAAAGCCCAAAAAGTTTTATGTATGAAATTGAACATTATACAAGCCTCTCATCCTCTCTTGGTAAATATTGTTAAATGTGATTCATTGTTTGTTTGCATAATGCATGAATTATTATATAATCATCAGATATCCGGTAAAAATGTAATTTACGAGATTGGAAGTCACCTTTATGAAAACGTAAGTGCAAGTAGAAGATAATGCAAAAATCGGTAATAAACTAAGAAAATAAATTGTGTGGAGTTCGCATGTCTCCAAATCTTCACAATTTTACCAAATTCTTACTTATCTCGACATTAGGGAATCAGGGGAGAAAGTAAATAGTCCCTGTAATCTCCTTAAATATTCATCTCTCAATCCTTCCGTTGTCTAAAGGTACTGCAATATAATAAATAAGCATGCTAATGTGTTAATCAAAGAATAATAAAAGAAGAAATCAAGATATTTTTTGGTGCGTTTTCGTTTGAGAAAATCCACGTGTTCCATCTTACTTTCTTTGATCATTGGCATATTACGAAAAGAAGTTATGCTCTTTCGTTGGTCGTCCTTGGGTGCGGTCATCTTGGGTGCCGTTGGCGTGTGACGACATCATGGTTCCTACGCTTCTTCGTTCGTTCTTCTCTTCCATTTCTGAGAGCCAGTTGTACTTCTTTTACGTTGACACCGGCATTGGGAACGGCGATCTTCCTCGTCGTTTAGTGCGATGCCCCCCTTCTTCCTTGGGTCGTAAATCACCGTCAGCCAACACGTCGACTGAGATTACGGGGCAACAACTACCTGCACCAATCAGAGGTCGTAAGCCTACGACAACGAACTACCTGGAGACCACGAAGACTTGCTCTTGGACCCCATTACAGTCCCTGGCCGCGTACAGTGCGTTCTTTAGATTTCATTTTCTCGTGAAAGGATTTTGTGATTCGGCTTGAAACTCGTGTGCGGTTTTGTTTCTTTCTTTTTCCGATAGTACCCTAAGAGAAACTATGATCTTTCAAGGAAACGGTAAGGACTCTCTTGCGATCCTTTCTTTCCTGATGCAGAAACTTGTTGATTACTATGATTATCCTAAAATCTCCATTAGGTAGTGGGATGTAGGACATCAAAATATCTTCAACATTTAATCAAAATTGGCGCTATTCCTGAATATTTAAACATCATCTCTCTTAAATAACTGATGTGCATTAGTTCCCTAAATCCCCCGGAAGTACCAGAAATCGTTTGCAAACCTTCCTCCTTTCACCTACATCATGTTTAAAAACTGCCTTATCATCCTTATAACTCCCATTTTTCTATGTCTATTCCACTTCTGTCATCATAGGTCACTTTTGTCTCACTCTGTATACGTCAATGTCTATTCTAACGAGGGAAATTTAGCGATTACCTTTCTTTTATTTTACTTTGAACTCTGTTCACAATTGACTAATTTTTTTCTTCTTTCTTCCAGGAGCGAATGGTTTGAGGAGGCGAGGTCGTCAAACGTACACCAGGTATCAAACGCTAGAACTGGAAAAGGAATTCCACACGAATCATTACTTGACAAGGCGGCGACGTATAGAAATGGCGCACGCACTTTGTCTAACGGAACGACAGATCAAAATCTGGTTTCAAAATCGACGGATGAAACTAAAAAAAGAAATCCAGGCGATCAAGGAACTCAACGAGCAGGAAAAGCAGGCACAGGCGCAAAAAGCAGCAGCGGCGGCTGCCGCGGCCGCCGGTCAAGTTGATCCGAACTGAACCAGCATCAACTCCTCTTCTTCGTCTTACTGCTAAGGGAAGATGAGGAAGTGCAGCTGCGACTATGCTTCAATAACAGGTAGGATTTCAAGTCAATTACTATGGTCTTGTTTAATATAGGGTACCACGATAAAACAAAAAACTACTCTGAATTAATTTACTTATCGTTTCATCTTTTATCACTAAGGGGTCAGTGATATTGCGCAAAGTAAATACGTTGAAACCTTGCAGAGCCAATCGTCTCATCAGGGTCGTGTTAGTTTTATCTCTGCACTTATGGTAGCTTTCACTTTTTTCCAATTATTGCCTTGTGGCGATTGCATAAATTACGACTTCGCCACAAACCGCCACTCAATAGGCGTAAAATTAAGTTGTCTGCGGATACAACGTACTTAGAGCAAATCTGATGCCATTTCTCATTTCGTATCTATCTTTCTGTGGTTCACTCCTACGGGAAATAATCGTTATTCCCATCGTAAAACAAACCATGTCGACCAGACAGACAAACAAACTGCAGGCAAACTTTTCCGTAACAAAAAAAAAGAAGACGAAATTATCGCAACCGCGCCGTCTCAGTTGACTTGGCGTAGCTTGCGGTTCTCGAACTTCTTGCGCCGTCTTTCTCTCTTTTCGCGGAGAGAAAATAAGCGAAGGGATCGCGATGGCTTCATATTAATTTAAGATATCATAATAAAGCCATAAAGTTGGCGTAACAAAGCGACCTCGGGATTGGTTTACGGCTGTAATTAAATGTCCAACGTTTATTTTATGACTCCTTTGCTGTACGAGATCAAGTTGTTGGAGGAGTGTTACAGCCACGCCAACGATGCCTTCACTTGCGCCAGTGGCGCCGAACGAAGAATAATTCGCATAATAGAACGGTGATAATTAAAATAATGCTTATTTGCAACTTTTATTCCAATTAGTCATGTATTTTAAAAAAGAAAATATCATGAAGTCGATCGATCGAAGGAGTTATTCACCTATTGGATAACATAAGCATCGTTTCTTGTTGGTGTTGTAGGAACAAGTGGATTAGAAGGACTTGCGAGTTTGAAAATATTATTTATATTATTTAAATTGTATTTTCTGAACGGCTGGTGTGCAATTTTTCGAGAGATAAGGAAGATTAAAAAAGAAAGAAATATGCTAACGGAATTAATTGACAACTTGTAGTATGTGAAACATCTCTTTCAAAGCACTGCTTTTAAGGAGTGAAATGGGTTTATGGAAAACGGTTCCATTATATTTAATTTCTCTTAAAAAAAAGCAAATGCATTACAGGTCTTGTTTGTTGATAAATACCATCCATGTGTTTAAAAAAATTAATTTTTTGTTTCGTTGTTTTAAATCTGTAGTTGATATATGTATGTGTTACTGTTCAGGCATGTTTTATAGCTACGACTTTGGTATTTCAAATTAAATCCGCATTTTTTATCATTGGCATATCTACCTATGCAATACGAGGGTGGATTGATAAGTTTCCGGCCTAACCAAGAGATGACGCCACTAGGCCTACCTTGAGGTGACATTCTATAGTACCATCCTTGGATAGCTTGTAGCTATAGTTTCAGCCCGATCTCCTTGCTAGTGTAGGTTTGACAGCACGCTGAACAAGACGCCTCTGTGGTTTTCGTAAAAATGGAAAAGCAGGAAAATCGTGCTGTCATCAAATACTTTTATTTGAAGGGGTTAACGCCGAAGGAAATTAAAAAAGAGATGGACTCAACACTGGGGACATCCTCCCCGTCATATTCAACCGTTAAGCAGTGGGTTTCCGAGTTTAAAAAGGGTCGTGTGAGCACCTCTGATGGGCCTCGCTCAGGACGCCCCGTTGAGGTCACAACTCCAGATATGATCGAAAAAATTCATCAAATAGTGCTGGGAGACCGCAGATTGAAAGTGCGTGAGATAGCTGAGACCTGTAAGATGTCATATGAACGTGTGCAACATATTTTGCACCAACATTTGCATATGGAAAAGCTCTGTGCAAGATGGGTGCCGCGTTTGCTAACAGTCGACCAAAAATTGATTCGAAAAAACATTTCTACCGCAAATTTGTCATTGTATAAGCGTAATCCAAGCGAATTTTTGCGTCGATTCGTAACCGTTGACGAAACGTGGGTCCACCACTACACTCCTGAAACCAAAGAACAGTCTAAACAGTGGATTGGACCAGGGGAACCAACTCCAAAGAAGGCAAAAACAATTTTTTCGGCGAACAAGGTTATGGCTACTGTTTTTTGGGATGCAAGAGGTATTATATACATTGATTACCTTGCAAAGGGTAATACTATCACTGGTCAATACTACGCAGACTTATTGCAACGTTTGAGCCACGAGGTGAAAATTAAACGACCTCATCTGGCGAAGAAAAAAATCTTGTTTCATCACGATAACGCACCAGCGCACACGTCAATCGTTGCGACGGCTAAAATCAACGATCTAAAGTTTGAATTGATGCCGCACCCTCCTTACTCTCCAGACCTAGCCCCGAGTGACTATTTTCTGTTCCCTAATCTCAAAAAATGGCTTGGCGGTAAGAGATTTGCGGACAATGAAGAAGTAATCGAAGCTGTAAATGGTTATTTTGAGGAGCTTGACGAATCAGTCTATAGAGATGGCATTAATAGACTGGAACACCGCTATGAGAAATGTATCAGCCTTGGAGGAGATTATGTTGAGAAACTTATCAATCCACCCTCGTATGTACCTAAAGCGTTCACTCCAATTTAATGACAAAATTTTTTTTGATTTTGATAGAAAGGTGTAACAATTGTTACATTTATGGTATTTACTGCAAGATAGCTCATGATTCCCATTTTTTTAAGAGATTACGATATATGGTGGAGGTGCTAGGTAGCATAATAACAATAGGTACCTACTACATAATATTACAATAAAATAAGCTGTACTCTGGGGTACCATTCCATGCAGTTTGGATTTATAATTCGTTTACCGTAATAGTAATTTTCAATGAGAAATGAAGAATGAGAATTAGAATGAATGTGAAGGTCGTTTTTCATTTGAAAAAAGAAATTGTCTACCTAAACCCCTTGAGCCCCACCTTTGCATCTTCCCATTCGTAGCATTTTCGAGAGGATCATTACCTACTTGTTTCGAAAATTCAAAATTGTTTAGTTCTATGACCAAAACCTGTCTGTAACTAAAGTAAAAGAAAAACAATTCATGTAAATGAAAAAGTTACATTAATAGATACATGTGATATATAAAAAAGGAGAAAAAAAGAGATGTTGGGATACCTTTTGGACACACGTGTGATAATAATAATATATATTAATAGAGATAACTGCTGTTTTCTTGGATAACGTTTTGTGTTAATATTCCTTTTATTTCAATAACTAAGAAATAAAGGAATAGATAGAAGACAAATGTTGCCTGCTATATGCAGATAATCCTGCTACACTGTAGATAGTTAACATACTCAATTATAGGCAGATTTGTATGGAGCGATCGAACTTACATTTTGGTTTAATGACTTTTTCTACTGATAATTAGATGGTAGATTTAGGCTTATTGCAACGTCAAAAGCATGAGCAATTGCTTGGTTTTCTTCTGTTTAGTTGCTGTTTCCGCTTACGCCTCAAAAGAAACTGGGAAGTTTCCCAGGAGGAGAGTCTCCCCTGAGCGTCACGGGCGGTAAAGCCCTCCACTTGTAAAAGTGACTGCCAAAAATTTAAATTTACCGATACCGCCTTTAACAGTTTCACACACTTAAGCTAAAAACTGGGCAAATCCAAATAGAAGATGTTGCCTGTACAATGAGATGCAAGAAGATTGCGTAATCTCTTCAGGTAGCTTTTTATCGTCCCCAAATTTTTCATTGTTTTGAAATTTAAACCGAACCATCCTTGAGATGATATAGCCCATCCAATAAAAATAAAATAATCAATAAAATCGGTTCACAATAAGCGTAGAAATCGCGTAACATAGGAATTCACAAAATAAATACTGTCGAATTGAGATTTTTGAAGTTAGCGCAGGACAGTCACAAAAGATGTGGCTCATTCCACCTTCTCTTCACAAGGAAGAGTTGGTGGTTATTTTTAGTTTCATTCTATGGTAACGCGATTCTCTGAGGTCACTGAAGATTTATCTAAGAATGTGGGTCTCTTTCCGAAAAGGATGAGAAGAAATTTTGTTCAGTTCAGTTCAGAATTAGACTCTGCAGTTTGTAGGGAAGATGAAGGCCTTTGCTTGCTTAACTCCTGGTTGTGTTTTCCAGTCCCTGTGGTATTCTGAAGCAGCTCGCTCTTCCATCAATTTCCTGCTTGGTGAGGTTACTGTCAGTGCTAGCAGCTGATTCTGGGCCAGTGGATGTTGTTGGGCACTCGCTTTCGCAAGGTCGTCTACGAACTCGTTTACCTTTAATTCGGGTCGATAGTCTGTTGAGGGCTCGACAGCAGTCCTCTTACAGCTTCGACTTTTTTAAATATCCTCTAATAAGGGCATGTAAAACACTTATGCAGTGAGTCTGTTTGTTGATACCTTCCAGGTTCATGGAGTTTCTTACTGTAAGTTGTTGCAAACTCCAATTTACATAATCACTCATACTATCTTTTCACTGTGTGTTCAATAAATATGGATTCGTTTTAAATCCAGCTTTGCGACTGACCTCCTTGCTTACTATGTTTCTTTTTAATTTAAAAAATAACCTTAAAATTACAATTGCGCTCGTATCTTCACATACTTCTATTACAAATGTCAGATACGAGAGAGACTAAAAGAAGCCTTTTCGAAATGCGTGCCACAGCACATTTCAGATTTCCTCCCTTTACCATCACCATCCTTTGGAGTACGTATAATTACTTTGGGGATTTTCTCCGCGGCAAGATTAACCACTGAAATTTCGAACATAAATTTGATGGCTTTACAAATAGTCAACCAAACACAATTATCTTAATTTCTCTACTTCCACTTCCGTTCTTCCAGATCTGCTGTCTTTTTAAACCAAACGAATCACCTTAAATTCTCCCTTCTTCCTTCAAACATTGTTCAAGAAACAGAAACCAGAATATGGAAATAAGCAGGAAACTCATTAAAAGAGTAGCTAGAAGT